CAAACCCGTTCTGACTAGTTTGGTGTCAGTTCGGAAAAAGTTGAATCAATGCAGGAAACCTTGGATTCATTTAGGAAAAGGATTAATCAGCTAACGTTGCCTCGCTTCACAAAATACGAAACCAATTCTTTAAAGATTGGATTTGGAATATGTTGAATCACTTCAGGAAAGTTTTGACAACTTTAAAAAGAATTAAATAACATAACAGAAAAGTTTAGACTCAGTTAGAAAAATATTGATGACTTATTCGAAAGTTTGAACTCACTTCAAAAAAGTTCATACTCAGGTTTGAATCTGCTTTGAAAAGTGTCACCTCAGTTAGGAATTTCCTGGATCGTTTCTGATTTGGTGTCACTTCTAAAAATTTTAAACCAATTTTGAAAAGATTGGATTTAGATCGGAAATTGTTGAATCACTGTAGAAAAGAAGTGAATCATTAAGTATCATTGTAGAAGGTAAGAGATGAACTAGCCTATGGCTAAAAATGGGGGGGTTGGCAAAAGAAAAACTTGATATTTGTTCCGGCCTAAAGATAATTTAAAAAAAAAATAAGCTTACTGAATAGAAGTTTTGATACTATACATTACTGGAAAATTATTACTTCATAATTTAATTACAAAAACATACATCTCCTGAAATATCTCATCAACGAGTGAAATATTTCGCAGAGTGGTGGGTGTATGTCTGTCCTTTCTGAAAATGCAACGTTTGTTTGCATTAGAAGAGCATAGTCGAAATTGGCGTCGAAAGAAGAGTTATTACGGAATGCAATTCTGTGGAGACGCAATGAAAATCCGATTCTCTCGATCAGAAAACTTGTCAAAAAACTTGGATTTCCTGCAAGCACTGTTCACAGCGTTTTTAAATAGTTCGATGCTCGTTTGACAATAGCTAGGAAGACGGGAAGCGGAACAAAAACGGATTTGAGGAACCACGAGATGGACGTGAAGGTGAAACAAATACCTTACTTTCGTCCATACTTCGAAGCATCGACAAGGAATGAAGTCATTCAAGGTGAAAACTGTGCCGAACCGCAATGATGTGACGGCCAAAACACGTGCTCGTAATGAAGATGGAATCCATGTTCCATCCAAGAAGGCCTCCTAACTGCCCGGAGTTACGCCCTATCGAGCGTATTGATAGTATTGATGTAGCCTAATTAGGTAATGATAAGTTGTTTTTTAATGATGACAATTATCCACGGTCCATACAAATTTTAAAAATTGTGTATGGACAATTGTCTGCGCTGGGGGAAGGGTGGGTCAAGAAACCCAAAAAAAAACTGTCTCCGTAGTTAATGAACTCTGAAAGAGCTCCGTTTTCTAACCACAATGAATTTGTTTTTCAAACCCATAGATTTTCGTCTCGTCTTTTAAATTAAAATGTAAAGCAAAACAATAACTTCACTATTTGAAACTAAACTAACAAATATCAAAAGTACCAATTCTAATGCGTGCCCCTTCAAACATCGTTGTAAGCAGATGAGATTTTCCACATCAGTGTACCCACATGCAACTGTGGTTTGTTCGAAGCTGCATATAAATGTCGGTCAATCTTCTGGATTGCCAGAGAAATGTGGCAATTCTTTTCCCATCACTTGTATAGCTGCCATTTTACTTGCCTCTAGAATTAAGGGAGGTGCTGCACGCTCCTGGCGTGGTATCGTTGGTGGAAACTCCGGAACTCCTCTGGGAACTGAGGGATCGATTCCCGGTCGATGCGGTGGACGATTTGGAATTTGGTGGGGATGTCCATCGGTCATCTGCTGTGCTCTAGGCTAGTGACGAGGTTCACTAGGCACTTGCGGTTTCGGAAAGTTAGGCAAAACAGACGGTTGACCAGGACGGCATGGGACAATCATGCAAGACCGAAGGCAGTTCTGACGGCATCAGAGGGTCAGGCAAAACCGAACGGTTGATATAAAGGCACCGGAGGTTGATTAGGCGTATGATGTGATGGAGAAACAGACTGCCGAGGTTCTTGCCTTTCTGGTTGATCAGCGATAGATAGTGATGGGTTCGGTCTATGCAACGAAACTGCTTTTCCAGAAACCGAGTCCACATCGCGTGCTTCGGAAGAGCATTTATCCAGCCAATCGGATATCCTCTCCTCAGAATCGTGAATTTATCCACCTCTGCTGCCACACTCACTCAATTGTCGGACAATACCTTGTTTCTTCTCCAACGACTCCTTGCTGATCATCTGCTGCTTCTCTCGAAAGGCCTTTTCATCATCCAGCTGTCGTTGCCGGGTTTTAGTTTCTTCCTCTATAAGAGCCTTCTTCTCCTCAAGATGACGTAGAGCTTCTTCCGTCGCTTTCTTCTGACGATCGGTCAGATCTGGTATCTGAAGGTGGGAGTTTGAGATGGCGAGACGACGACGAATCCTTCTTCTTACATTCTTTGCACACGTACGCCTGTTCCTTCACCGAATCATCCACACCCGCGCACCGAAAATGTTCCCACAGCCTGCACTTGTGACAAGCGACCCATTTCTCATCAGCAGAGTTAGGCTGGGTGCAAGACTTGCAACTATATCCCGCGGATTTCTGATGCTCCTCCATTCCAGACCCCATGATAAAATTCTTAAAGATTTTGTAGGATTGTGTCACCAAATCTCAACAGCAAACAACTTTTTGGTAGTGTTTGCTTTAAGCTATTTAAGTTCAACGAGTTTTATTTTAGCTACTTACATTAGCCTTAGGTTCGATTTGACTAGTTTAGGCAAATTCAATAGTTTTAAGCAAGGTTGCAAAGATTCATTTCAGCTAAAACAATGTTTTTCTAAATGATGAAATAATTAGATGCCATGATCAAATTTTGAATTGGTAGGATACAAGAAGAGGTTGCAAAGAATGTGTTTGACATATTAAACCTGTTTATTTCACTTCATGAGAGTCACAGTCAGCGATTTTTCACAAACTCACTCACTCACTCACTCACTCACTCAGCGATCAGCAAATCGCTGATTGTGACTCATAGAAAGCAAAATTTACAGGTTTTATGTTTCCAACGCATACTTTGTAACCTCTTCTTGTAAGTTACAAGTAAAACATGCCATCATACCATCTTTTGGTTTTATTATTCCGAAAAACATTATTTTAGCTGAAATGAGTCTTTGCAACCTTGGTTTTAAGCACTAGTAGTAGCGAAGATATTTATTAGTGTTAAATACGCCCGGCACTTCCCTAATCGTATACAATGGCTTTCGAACTGTGTGTAACGATGACTATCGATTCACCATTAGTTTTGACGTTCCTCCTCATCGCTTGTCACTTGTCATCCATGACAAATCGATCGGATGCGGCCTGCTGGAAAACGTGTAGATCTACATAGGCAGCGTCGCTGCATCGAGGTGTGTTGTCGTCACAGATTTGGTGAATAAATATTATAATTAATAATTGATTAGGCGAATTTAATTAATATATTTTAAAATCAATTAGATTTAAATATATCCGAACAAAATGGTAGATATTTAAAAACAACAATTAAGTTTGGATTTTAAATCAATTTTTAAATGAGAATTTACCCTCTAGATAAAAAAAACTTTAATTTAAATGTTTACAAATCCGGTATCCATTTTCTCAAGTCCTAAAACTCTAATTTTGGTTTGGGTTTGGAAAGCTGATCATTTTTAATTTTTCTATACCCGTTTTTTTATCATCACGATCCAGCTTTATTATATTTTAAGAAATTTTTCAAAAGTCAATGTTTCTTCCTGATGAATGTGGGCGTATTTCATCTACAATGTGCAGACTTCTTCAGTGTCTTGTATAATACTCGACTATTCGAGTATAAGTACAAGACACTGAAGAAGTCTGTACATTGTCGACGAAATACGCGTATCTGTCAAGGATAAGCAAATAGGGTAGTGGAATTAAATGAAAATTACTAATCTTTCTATCTCTCATTATACAATGTTTCTTGGTCTAGAACCTTTGGGAGCATAATATTTTTAGAATGTCCAGGATCACATAAAGATTAGAAAATTCAGGATATTGAACATTCTTCTTAATTTGGTGTATTGAATTTTCACAAGTTCTAAAATCTTTAAAATTGCTTCAACCTCGAGATATATATGCCTGGAGTCTTTTGTCTATGTCTGGAATCTTTTTTAAAATTCCAAAGATTTTGTTTTATTAATCCAGGAGATTTATTCGCGCTTATTATTTTTTTTCATATTCCAAGATCTTAATTAAGCTGTTTTGAAATCCGATATCCGATAAATTTCAAGTGACAGGCAACCTTCGTTTTAGTAACTAAATCCAAAATTTAAAGAAAAGTCATGAGTACGAAACCCTGCAAATCTTTCTGGATTAGAATATTAAAAACATTTATAAATCTAGAATTCGAAGTAAGTCAAATGTTGCAGAATCTTGAATTTTAATTAAAAAGCTAAGTCCGCAATATTCAACATTTTCCTAAGTACGAGACATTGAAACTGAAAGTCGGTCCAGAATCTTGAAAAAAGGTCTATTGCTTGGATCTTAAAAAAACGTTTCTAGTCCAAGAACTTTTCCCTGGATTTAAATTGCTTAAGCAGTTTTCTCTGACGCCTTATTTCAGATTGCAAAAAGCTTGCACTATTCGCTTTCTTTTGATATTTTACACAAAATGACGCGAGCTTTTTGCAATCTAAAATAACGCGTCGAAAAAAAATTGCTTTTGAATTTTTTAAAAATGCATCAAAGTAAATTTAACCTTAAGCCTTCTAAAAAATTGTTTCACTTCCCTACATGATTGGTGATATCATTATAGTTTGTATTGCAGTTATGAATAAGGATTGAGAAATATTTCAATGAACTTCCAGGTCATAAATGGAATTATAAATTAAATTGTATTGATATGATCCTAAGAGGATATAATCCAACCCTTCTGCCTCTTCTATCATCAGTAAACAAACCCCACTGTGTACAACAAAACATCCACACTCACACGCAAGCAACCAGGCAACGATTCGCAGCTGAGGAGATCGAAAACAAAAAAAGAAAACGAACTTACTTGCATCGAATCGGCGCTGATAATTTCCCCTCCGAAACGCCGGGCCAGTGCGATCGAAAGCTTCGTTTTCCCGGTCCCCGTCGAACCGAGAATCACCACCAGAGGTTTCACTCGCGGGACCGTAGCCATGGTGGCCTTTTTCGCGGCGGAAAACACCCGATGTAAAGCACTCCCGGACGGAAAATTCAAACGCAAAACGCACCGTATTTTCTCACCGCAACGAAACATTCGACCGACCGACTGACTGCTGCTCTGCTCTGCTGCTGCTGTTGCTGTCAAACGGCGACGACACCACTACAAATAACGCGGATGAACGAGAAGGAGACTGTGTGACTGGTGCGAGTTTGCCGGCCGGCTGATGGCGTTCTGTACGGGTGCGAGGGAGAAGGATGGTAATGTGATGAATGAATCGGAATCAAAACAAAACAGTGCAAAAATGCACGTGGTTTTGTTTTGAATCGGCGCAGTAGGCCGCGTTGTCATGGATTGTGCGGGAGTAAAAAAACGATTAAAATTAATGGGTTATTTTTTTTTCACTTCGGAAATTACAAGATCAAGACCATTTGGAGTGATAATCATAAAAAAATAATGTGACTACAAGTAGGTAGGGTGGGAAAATTTGTGTCATAGAAAAGTGAAATCTGAAATGAAGGGGAATCGAAACATCTTCATCAGGAAAGATGGGTGAGTTGAATCCTTTACCCTCACTAGAAAAGACGGCCTCAAAGCGGTTTGTACTCCAAATTATGATAATTTGAGACTTGTACGTTTTAAGCTTGAACCAGTAATATTTCGTTTTACATTTAGATAAAAGTATTGACCTCTCATTAAAATCAAATCATCTGGATCTAAAACCGGACTGTCCACACACAACGTGAGCAGTCCCGCCCTTCCATGCTTCCCCTTAGACCTTATCCGGACCAATTTAGAAAATTTAAAGCTTACGGTTTACAGCAACAAACAGTTTTATTAATTGTAGGGGTGTTTACTAGATTTAGGCCTTTTTGCTCAAAAGACCTAAAAAAATACTTTTTTCCAAGTTGCAAATGACCCAGCCTAGTAAACATTTTCGACCCGTGATTACTATTTTCGTTTAAAACATATAATAAACTTAATAAAATGAGAAATTTTTGTACACCAATAGAAAGAGACATGATTTACTTTGTTGTCAAATCAATACCCGGATAAAAATAACCATAAAATTAGAATAAAATACAATAGATTCTATTGTTGACAATTAATCTTATTGTAATTTTATTGTATTGGTCAAATAATCAAATAGTCACCACAATAGGTTTACAACAAATTCTATGAAATCAAAATTTTGCACAATAAAAAAACAATAAAATTTAGCGTAATGAGATCAAATTTGTTCGAGAAAAAAATGATTTTTTAATGGTTACGGTAACTAACAATCCCCCTTTTCTATTGTAAATGTCTCATTAACAATAGATTATATTGTACATAACAATAAGTTCTATTGTATTTTTGACAATAACATTTATTTTTGCTACAGCAGGTACAAAATACATGAACATGGTCACTAAAAAATGCTACTAGAAGCAAAATAGCATTTTTTCGACTTTAACCTTGTTTAAAGAGAAATTTTCTGAATTACTCAGATAATTTCAAATATGTTTTTCAAGCTTTTTCTAATGGAAACCTCAATTTAAAGCAATAACAATACAGAAAATAATACATGTATCGAAGATCTCTGGAGACGAATCAGCCCCGGGCCGAAAGTCTCCTTAATAAAGATATAAAAAAATAAATCGAGGACAACGTTAATCTGAACGACACTTTGTGCATTTTAACGTGGTTCATTTTTAATTTGAACTTATAGTAATCCCATAACCATCAGAAAAGCGTTTTTCTGTTAACCTTATTTGTTGCTTTTTTGACACTTTACTCCATTACATGTGCTAAATGACGTTTGAGCTATTTATAAATTCAAACTAAAATGTGTTCAGATAAAAAACGGTCAAATTACCGGGGGTCCACGTAGTTGAAAAGTCGCGGTGAAGAACTTCATGGGATGGGTCAAACTTGTACTTGTAAATATGCAAAAAAAAAAGTTTGAGGAATTGTGAAATTATTAGATGTTATGATCATATTTTTGTATAAGTAAGATACAAGAAGAGGTTGCAAAGTATGTGCATGACACAATAACCTGTCAATTTGGTTGTCTAAGAGTCACAATCAGCGATGCTATAATCGTGAATTAGTGAGTGATGCTATAATCTAAATCTTACTTTAATCAAAATGTCAGCCAAAAGATTAAACTTAAGTTACAACGAAATCAATTTTTAAAGTAAGTAATTTTTTATGAACTTTCTAAAATTTCCATGGAACGATTTTTGACCCAAACAATTTGAAATGATGTCACCAATTGGTATTGGTGTAAATAAGCGGCCGAGAGGGCCTGCCCCCTCCCCCAGACAAAGGGTTGGCCAGCCTAGAGAATGTAGAAAATAAATACCGGAGCAATTTGTTTCTGCATTTCAGTTCGCTGCGATTTTAAATTTCTTAATAATACATATTCATTGGCCTTCATCTTTTATTTATTTCTATATCTACACGCATACGTTTCATAAAAAGGTTGTTTTTATTTAGTAGTGATATCAGATTTGAAGACATATCTTCATTTTGAAAAACTTTAAATTCTATGAAGTCATTTTTTCTCGCAGACATTTTGCAGATATGTTATGAAGATGAACATGAACTGTTTGAAAATATGCGGAGCTTGAAGAACTCATCAAAAGAATTTTTTTAATTTAAAGCAAATATGTGAAGATTTTTAATATTGAAATGAAGATTTTGAATGTATGAATAATGTAACCAATTTGTTTTTGTTTTGTTTTGAAACAATACTTGATCGATCTAAATATTCACAGGACTTTTTAGTAATCTTTAATTGGTTGCAGATAATTGAATACTTTCTGATCAACGTGCCATTCTAAAAGAATAAGACATTGGAACAGTTGACGGTTTGCACAACACGAACCGATCAAACCGAAGCCTTTAATTAAGTAAATTTCTCGTTCAGCTGGAGATACTTCTTGATCAACCTCTGCTATCTTGGAAGAATATCAGCGTACGCAATATGAACTATTGAAATGGTTAACATCTTCAGAATGAACTTTATCAACCTGAAGCCTTGAAAATACTCAATTTTGCTGTCCGATGCGGATCTAAACATTCCCATGACAATATCTGGTGAACCAGCAATCTAGCGATAATTTTAAGAATGGTAGGGTTAAATACCCCACTTTCGGCCTATTAAGCACAACCCGCACTTAGTCTTTTTTAATCTAGCGCAGTTTAGCACCAAACGGAATTGATGGCTTTCAAATTTATTTACCTTTCCGTACGTACCGTAAGATTTGATACAGAGAAACCAATCATTGAGATATTGTCAAAAGTCTAACACTGTTTCTTGACGCCAAACTCGGCCTACGGTTTCTAAACTCGGTCTAACGCATTGAAACGCCAATGAATTCACTTCGGCCTATCGGATGAAGATAAAACATGATTCGGTAGGAGCGCTTTTTTTGTTTTTGGGAAGAATGGGTGCAAACCTTCATATCACGCGTTCTCATTGACTTCGTTCGGTAGCTTATTAACTAAAGTATCGTACCAAACGAATAATTGACTTGTTCACTCTGAAATCATGGATTTATTTGAAGTTTTCTGCTCGATAGGCCCAAAATGGGCGATTAGGCCAAAGTAGTTCTCTACCCTACTTGATTAATCTTTAATCTTGAAATTAAATTCAGAGAACTTTATAGAAATCTTCGATTAACTGGAGATCTTTCAAATACTTCCTCACCTTGAACAAATATCTGAAATTTTGAATAGTTTCTGATATTCAGAACAATACTTTATCAACGTTATCATTTACCAAGACATTGGAAAATATCTAGAGAAACTAATTGATATCTTATTGAAAACCAGTGAATAATTATAAAGTGCTCTACAACCCCAATCGTACTAACTACATTAACAGTGACATCAATAACAACAACATCCTCGACGGCCGCAAATAATCTAAACTTCATCAGCAATCACAGCATTAACAGCTGCCTTCCACGCCAGCGCCGGTGGTGTAGTGGTAAGCGTGACTGCTTTCTCACCTCAATGGGTCTGGGTTCAATCCCAGCCGAGGTCATAAAAATCTCTGGTCACGTCTTCCTTCGGAAGGGAAGTAAAGCCGTTGGTCCCAGCCCATGTGAGTGTTGAATGGGTGCGATATTCTCCACAGGAGTGGAAGCTGCCTTCCTGCACATTCGATTGCCGTCAATGGACAATGGATGGCAATCGATGTCCGTCGGTGATTGGCACTAGATTGCGGAACAGATACCGACGTTAAATAAAGGAAAGAAGAAGCTGCCTTCCACCTGATCAAGAACTTCTTGCGGCAGCAAATGATCGGTTTTCAAGGCCGCCGACTAACTATCGACCTACGATACCATTTCAAAGTGGTGGAATTATAAACCAGTGCCCGGTGAACTTGCACGATCCACTCTGGCACACTCGCCCAATTGGATGGTTCCGGGGAGCTCTTCAGCTGTACCATGCGAGGAATGCTCACGTAGACATTTGTGTTTTCCACAGAATTGACGAACTCTTTGGAGGAAGACAACGATCGTGCAGAACTCGACGTTATCCACGATTTGACGACTTATCCACATCTAGAACGAGAGGTAATTAGTATTAATAATTTAAATTTGTCGACTGACACAATCCAGCCAACTACTGCACCTCGAACACAGTTAGGAACATATAATTTGATGCATTGCCAAAATTTCAATCGTATGAAAACTGCGACTAAGACTAACGAAATCATAATAAAATGTTGTGTTGTTCCTTCCCAACAATTTAGCCACATGAAGCCAGTTGGGATGAAAGTATTAGAAGTGAAGAAGTTTTTAGAAACAGTTAAAATGTTTTTAGGGATGTCCTAAATTTTCAAATTTCTGAAAAGAAGTCGGGATGGGGCGTTCTTATTGCCATTTCAACAACATTTCACTACTACTACTACACATCTATTTTTTTTCCTACAGTGATAAAATCTTGCGCTTTCATCACGAGAACAAGGATCTCTCGCATCGTTCCATCGCTAAAACGTTGGGAATCGCGAATTCCACGGTGTCGCGAGTGATTAAGCGGTTCGAGGAACGGTTGACCACCGATCGGAAGCCCAGAAGTGAAGGAAAAAGTATTCCGTACAACACCAAAAATCACAAC